AAACAAGCACGGAAAAAAGAAAAGAAACACAAATGAAGAAAAAGCCAGTGCAGGTAATACTTTACTTACTCAGCTGCAGGAATTGTTGTGAAGTAGCCGTCAGCCGATGAGGCACGTCCTCGTGGTCGTGGGTCCGCATAGACGATAACACTGCCCTCGCTCGAGGCCTCGCTTGCCATCGTTGTAAGCTGAAAGTACGTTTTTCAGAGCGCCCTTATTACGTGGCTGTCGAATTGTGCCAATTTCAAGGGAGATATACCTACTCCGAGAAAATTCGCTCACAGGCAATTTTCTCGCTCAAAAAAAAACGTTTTCGATATGTTGCCTTGATAGGAAACTGAAAGCCTCCATCAAGCCCGTTCGGAAAACAATTTTGATTACCTGGTGGGAAGGGAGTTGATTTTGATGAACGAATTGCTCTCGAACGAACCTGTCCACTCAAAAATGCTCTAATCAGGTCCTACCTCTCAAGTTCCTAATGGCGTTAGTCAGAATCCGGTTGTGTTTTAGGTCGCCTCTGAGCCCTGTTTGCCAACTGCCGTGAGCCTGACGTTCTCAAGGTTCACGCAAGGAAAGAAACTAGGAATCACTGAAGTTGCGCGAGCCGATGGTGAGCTGTTTTCAAGAGCGAGTGTTTTCCTCAGCTATTCACCCGGATACTAAACGCTAATAAGTTCAACTCCCATCTGTGAAATTCCAGACCAATTCCACTATATAGCCCGTACTCCAGATGTGGCTGCGATGACTAGCCTACTCTACCCGTGAAAGCTCGCGACGCCCCATCTGCTCCTGTGGAGGCTTTCACGGAGACCCTTCCAGGCAGGCTTGTACAAGACCTTATACAAATAACATTCTAACCCCTAGAGTAGCCCTGGGAACGGGCTGGGAATTTCCAGGGACATCTCCTTTCAAGGGACTACTTGAGCATCCCATCAGTGAAATTCACTTTGGAACCAAAAAGAACAACTACTATGGAACAAATAGGCACATCTTGGCTTGGTGGGGGCGCCAAATGCTGCGCAGCAAGGCTTGTACGCGCCACTTTGTGGAGACCTATGAATTCCTGCAACTAAAGTGGCTCACTTGCGCCAAGAGTTTACAGGTGTTAACCTGTTAGTCACGTGCTCTAGCAAGGGGAACTAGCGAAAACGCAAAATGTCCCTCCTCCTAGCCAAATAGCGCCTATTTTCTAAAGGCAGTTTCTGGGAACTTCTGTGGAGCTCGAGTGTCGGAACACGTGTTTCGGGGGAAGTTTCTGTACTTCCCCCTATTCTATTTTACGTATTAAGGGAACTCACCCAGTTCTTTACTCACTCTTGTCAAGTATAATACGTATGGGAGTTCAGAAGCAAGCGTTGGGGTTGACATATCAGCCAATTCTTATCCATAGGACAATTTCACCTCTCAACTCCTTCGAGAAAAGAACGAAGTGGGTCCGGTGGTGTTGACTCCCGACTCATCTTTAGCCCTCAGGTCTTCTGTGGGGGGAGCGTCGAGCACGTGGTGAGTTGACCTCAACCTAAGACAGAACACACTAGTAACGTTACGGCAACGTTGCACCCTCTCGCCCACCCTCCTGACCTGTTTCCAACACGTGCGGGCCCGTGCGACAAGGGTTGGCGTGGCCGCCACTAATTATTCACCCACTTCACGCTCCGCTCACTCTTACTGTTATTACCAAAGAGGAAGTGGACCATGTTTTTATTGGGTGTCAATTATCAATACCTTGATTTTTGTTTGATAACTTATTAGCTTATTTATGCACATCGATTAGGTACAACCTCATAGAAGCAGAAACTACAACCCTTCCCTCGTGTAGTCCCTTTCCCGACCCTGTCTCTAAAACCCCAAGACCGGTTTCTACTTTTTCCAGAGCCTGTTTCCAAAACCTCATTTTGAATTTTTTGACTTCTCAAAATGTTCGGTCTTTCCGAACCTGTTTTCAGAACCCGGTTGTGATTTTGTAGCAAAACGCGAAACGCCGAAAATGTTCTCGGAGTAATAGGAAACCCGACTGACCCTGAACCCTTTCACCTCGGCCACGCATTGATCTCTCGCCTTAACTCGTTATCATATAAATGATCGATAGACTGATTAATCGATATGCGGATCGATAAACAACTTTTCATCAGTACGAGTAAATTCAAATGAATGAAACAACGTAGTGTAGTAATTGCAAAAACAAATAAATCACTAACATCGACCTCGTCCAAGACCGAGCTGCGCTCCTTCAGCGGTGTTCGATGGGAGGTGTCGGATGAGGCGGTACCAGTACTGTAATGGATCGAAGGACCGGAATTCTCGCCAACAAATGGCCGGTAGTACAGAGAGTGGACAGTTCGGCCGACGCCTCGTTTGTCAGTGGCACGGGATGCAGCTGAGCGCTGTTGATCACGTTTTTCTGACAGAACAGGTTGTGTGAATTGCAAATCAATGAGGTTGTCGGCCTGTAGGTTAAAGGTAGTACTGCCAGACATGTTGCTATGGGGGCGCGGTTTCACCCGCTCCACTTTCGTCTTGTGTTCCTGTTGGATTCGGGTGGCGCCGTCTGGAGGCTCGTTGGATTGCGTCCCACGTCTGTTCTTTGATGATGATCTCTGGCGTTTGGGTATGGGCCTCGGTATGATCAACATTCTGTGATTGATGCATGTGTCGGATCTTCAGCGAGACTGGATGGCCCGTATCAGAGGCGATATTCGTGACGGTCACCTCACAGGAACGTGGGTGCTTATCTGGGGCCGAGTTGATGATCTCCATCAAAGTGACCGTCTTTGTCACCTCCAGGACTTGTTCCCGTATTCGTCGAGGCATATCAGGATGACGACTATGTAGGAGATGTTCAGCCAGAAGAATAGCAGATGCAGGAATAGTAGCTAATAGAATAAGATCGGATCCTGTCAATTGATCGTATTCGACCGGATTCGATGACGGTAACGGTTCCTCGTCGAGACTCAAGCAATCGCCAGTCCAATCGCCCAAATCCGATTCGCTGAAGCAATCGTTCATTATCGGCGGTCTAGCGGTTACAATACGACGAATACGACGATAGATAGGTTGGAAAAGGAGTGTCAATCAGCAGTTACGACAAAAGCGGGCTCATTCATCACTTCCTCCACGCCTACACACAGTAAAGAACGCACGAAAACACACGTACATTCAACCTTAAGAAACGCGTCATAAAACGCCAAAAGTACACCTCAGTAACATCAGCTGGCGCTTTTCGCATGGGGGCAAAAAATTGAGACAATCAATGAGTGCGCAGAAGAAGAGAACCTCGAGAGAAAGCACGAAGCCAATGAACTTTATTGCTCAGAAAGTGACTTTTCTGGTCGAGAAAGTGCTTTATGGAAGCCATCGGCGGCGAAGAACGCGCCAGCGCGTAACCATTTGAGCGTGCGAAATTTGCCATTTTACGAGGGAAGAACGGAGAAGGGAATAGGCTATTGGACTGCTAAGGTCATCTAATTGAAAAACTCATGTAAACGATAGTATCAAGTCTACTGACTAACTTCCACTCTTTCCGTCACTTTTCGGTTCTGGGGCCCATTGTTTGGCCTCACTAAGGAGTTATAACTGGTGATCGATTTACTATGCCTCCTCATTCCGATACGATTGGGCATTTTTGGGAGCAGTTCGGCTTGAGGGAGGCATTTTGCACTTTCACTACTTCCATAGCCCCGTGCTCGAGGCCTTGAATGGAGATCTGTGAAATCTTGAAAAGTCAGAAATCTTGTGAAGAACACCTGCCAACTGTCGTAATGCAATGAACACGACAATGAGAAGTAGAGGCAGTGCAAAATCCCCCCTAGACAGAACTCCTCCGCCCCAACCGATCTGCCTCCATTTTGGTGCATAGATTATTTGAGGCCTTTCAAACCACGTCTTTTTGCATCGCGGAGCTACTTTTGGTCTCTCCTTTCGGGCTTACTGTTAAACAGAATCCTAATCCACTCAGCTTGTGCTGCGCGAGTTCCACAGCGTACAGCATCGGGGTCATTGTAAACACAGTATCACTACTATCTCTCCTCACCTTCTCCGGTAGGACCCTTCACACAACCTATAAACCATCTTACCAAATTTCCTCGAAATCGGTCGAGCCGTTAAGCGTTAGGGAGGCACTCCCGACCAACTGCTCGAAAACCACATCCGCTGCTGCTAACACCCCATCCGCTGCCAATATAACCCCCTTACCCGGCGACAAAAAGACTTCCTCGAAGTCGTTTTTGTGATAACTTCCTCGAAGTGTTACTCTCAACGGTGATGTGCGCTAGTGTTTCGGTGCTAAATGCCAAATGTGGCGCTGTTGCGGTCGGGACGGGAAGAGGGGGCCCACCTCCTGCTTGGGGTTAGCCCTAGAAAAACGATCATCGAGCGACCTGACCGTATGTTTCCTATCCCTTTTAGAGGAAGAAGGTTACTCTCAGCCGCGTCAGCTCTCCGCTCCTCCGCCCCCTCGTCCTCAACTCACAGCTGCTCAAACGTTCCACTTCTTCTTGGTGGAATAGTCTAATTGCTTCAATAGAAGTATTATCATTGGAGTTATAATATTATCACTATTATCACATTCTAGAGTTATTAATGAAATTTTTACTAATATTTCTTTGTTATCACGTAACTGTCGTCCTCGTCACTTACTGTAGCTCGCTAGCTTCATTTGTACTTCCTTATAGCCACTACCATTAGCTATTACAGCGCCAATCCAAAAGGCTTCAAAAAGCGAACTTATGCGAGGCGGTCGAAATCACGGGTTTTTGCATTAAAAGAGCGTCCACAGTAGGTTCTTTACCTCACACATATAAACTTTATCGCTCATTTCAGTCGAGGTGATGTTTTGCCGCAGCGCCGGCCCCTTACTCAACACTCATGGAACGCTCGAAATCGCAGCCATAAAAAATGAGCTGGTGCGCGCCAGAACCCGCTGACACGCCTCAGATCACTCCAGTGATAAGGACCGAGGCAATAATTTTCACCCCCTCTCTCACAATAGTTTTTTTTCGCACATTACATCACCAAGTTGAAAATCAGCATAAAAAGAAACTCAAGGAATGGTGTAGAAGTGAGGCTCTTGAAATGAAACGCTTCTTGCTGCAAACGTTAGAGCGTTCCGGGAGGGGGGGGGAGCTGGTTTAGGCAGCGCCTATCTCTTCTCCTTTAGTTTCCGAAGTGGACAAATGACGACCTTGGTGGAAGATGGGCTGGCGCCGCGCTGGAACGCAGCTCCCTGACACACCCCCAGCGTCTGCAGCGAGAGCGGCTGTAGCTTTGAAG